AAACACATTGGTGTATCATTATGAAAATAGGTACGTGTCATTGGCATAATGCCCTGAGTTAATCTAAAAGTTTAGAGACAGCGCCACCTTGTGGTCAGAATTATAATGCAATTTATAAAAATGTTAAGAGCTTTTGATCAATTTTGCCGAAACTGTCCGATTTTCACCAAATTCGAGTCAGATCTTCTTTAGACCATATGTTAAGTTTGTGTGTTAGTGCTTTATAATGCTTCTACTGTATACATGAAGTGAAGTCCATAACAGCAGGGGTTAGTGCTGTGTTTTAACTGACTGATTAAAATGGAAGAGGTCTGTCCTCTCTGCCAGCATGGCCTATATCCTTCACTGGACATGCACTATTAAAATAAAAGCATTCACATTTGCCAAAAAAGGAAATGCATTCATTTATGTCCTACCCTGAGATCCAACATTTCTTCAAAGACTTCACAAAGACATCAGATGCAAATGTTTTAGTGTTCAGACACAGACATGCATGCAAAACATTAATTTTTCAATAAATGAAACTGCTATTGCTTTTGTACTATATAAAATATCTTTAATAATATTAGGTTTTTCATTTTTTCCTCTATTTTTTTTTTTATTAAGCCTGTCAATTTTAAATGATATTATGTAGAGATAAAAGATGTATATTTATTTGGTTGTTTTGTTTGCCTGTCCCTTTTAAATGATATTGTAGAAAGATTAAATATTTAATCTATTTGATTAAGCTTGTCAAATTCAAAGGATATGTATTTATTTATTTAAGCCTGTATTATTGAAACTAAATCTTTAGATAATAAAGATATTATTTAGCTCTCGTTTTATTTTATTTTATTAAGCATTTCACTTTAAAATGAAATAAAAGGATTAAAGATAATATTTAGCTTTTGTTTATTTTATTTTTTACTTTATTTAATTATTTGATTAATTTGGGTATTAGAGAAAGATTAAAGCTGACAAATTTTAGACAATACTTTTGATGCAAAGGTTCTCCAGGCCCTCGGTTGAGTATAATGGCCTCTGACAGACTGGAGAACCCGGTTTTGGAAATAAAGAAATCGCTACATGTAACTGGTTCACGTCTTGGTCATCATCTCTCAGTTCTCTGTGTCTTTGTCCTTTCTCAGATGTTTCTCATGTCTCTGTCCAGCATCACCACTGGATGTCATAATCATAACTCTGCTGATTAAAATGGCTTTGACTCTTTGCCTAGAAAGAAAATCCTCCACCGCATCAATAAGTGCGCTGGTGGCGGAGCGACACGCAAATAGAGGCGTCACAGGCCATGACTAATTCAAACTTGCTGTGGGTTATAAAACCTTATTATAACACAGATTTGAATTAGTCTGCTGGTGAAGGATCAGAGCCCCATTCAACCTGTGTGCGTTCTGCTTCTGCTAAATGTTTCCCCACTGAACTGAGAAATATTCAAATCAGTATTCACAGCGTGTGTTTTAGAGGGGTTTAGAGCGTTCCTGTCCTCTAAAAAGAGGCAAAAAGCTGCTGATGCAAGTCAGTTTCTCGGGTTCCTTTCTAAGTTGAATGAATTTTGCTTTTATCAGCTCAGACATGAATATGAGGGGAAATGTGATGAATTAAGTGTGAAAATAGGGAGAGGAATAGATGTGGGGCGTGGAAATAAAGTGAGGAGATTTCATTTTGTATTCCAGGTGACCGTAAAGAGGCACTATCTATCTATCTATCTATCTATCTATCTATCTATCTATCTATCTATCTATCTATCTATCTATCTATCTATCTATCTATCTATCTATCATTCCATCTATCTATCATTTCATTTATCGTTCGTCCATCATTCCATTTATCATTCATCCATTATTACATTTATCGTTCGTCTGTCATTCCAGTTATCGTTAGTCTATAATTTATCATTCGCCCATCATTCCATTTATCGCTCGTCCATCATTACATTTATCGTTCCTCCCTCGTTCCATTTATTGTTCGTCCGTCGTTCCATTTATCATCTGTCCGCCGTTCCATTTATTGTTCGTCCATCATTCCATTTATCGTTCGTCTGTCATTCCATTTATCGTTAGTCTATAATTTATCGTTCGTCCATCGTTCCATTTATCGTTCGTCCGTCATTCCATTTATCGTTCGCCCATCATTCCATTTATTGTTCGTCCATCATTCCATTTATCGTTAGTCTATAATTTATCATTCGTCCATCATTCCATTTATCGTTCGCCCGTCATTCCATTTATCTTTCGTCTGTCATTCCATTTATCTTTAGTCTATAATTTATCGTTCGTCCATCATTCCATTTATCGTTCGTCCGTCATTCCATTTATCGTTCGTCCATCATTCCATTTATCGTTCGTCCATCATTCCATTTATTGTTCGTCCATCATTCCATTTATCGTTCGTCCGTCATTCCATTTATCGTTCGTCCGTCATTCCATTTATTGTTCGTCCATCATTCCATTTATCGTTAGTCTATAATTTATCATTCGTCCATCATTCCATTTATCGTTCGCCCGTCATTCCATTTATCGTTCGTCTGTCATTCCATTTATCGTTAGTCTATAATTTATCGTTCGTCCATCATTCCATTTATCGTTCGTCCGTCATTCCATTTATCGTTCGTCCATCATTCCATTTATTGTTCGTCCGTCATTCCATTTATCGTTCGTCCGTCATTCCATTTATCGTTCGTCCGTCATTCCATTTATTGTTCGTCCATCATTCCATTTATCGTTAGTCTATAATTTATCGTTCGTCCATCATTCCATTTATCGTTCGTCCGTCATTCCATTTATCGTTCGTCCATCATTCCATTTTTTGTTCGTCCATCATTCCATTTATCGTTAGTCTATAATTTATCGTTCGCCCATCATTACATTTATCGCTCGTCCGTCATTCCATTTATCGCTCGTCCATCATTACATTTATCGTTCCTCCCTCGTTCCATTTATCGTTCGTCCATCATTCCATTTATCGTTCGTCCATCATTCCATTTATCGTTCGTCCATCATTCCATTTATCGTTCGTCCGTCGTTCCATTTATCGTTCGTCCATCATTCCATTTATCGTTAGTCTATAATTTATCGTTCGTCCATCATTCCATTTATTGTTCGTCCATCATTCCATTTATCGTTCGTCCATCATTCCATTTATCGTTCGTCCGTCGTTCCATTTATCGTTCGTCCATCATTCCATTTATCGTTAGTCTATAATTTATCGTTCGTCCATCATTCCATTTATTGTTCGTCCATCATTACATTTATCGTTCGTCCATCATTCCATTTATCGTTAGTCTATAATTTATCGTTCGTCCGTCATTCCATTTATCGTTCGTCCATCGTTCCATTTATCGTTCGTCCATCATTCCATTTATCGTTAGTCTATAATTTATCATTCGTCCATCATTCCACTTATCGTTCGTCCATCATTCCATTTATCGTTCGTCTGTCATTCCATTTATCGTTCATCCATCATTCCATTTATCGTTCGTCTGTCATTCCATTTATCGTTAGTCTATAATTTATCGTTCGTCCATCATTCCATTTATCGTTAGTCTATAATTTATCGTTCGTCCATCATTCCATTTATCGTTCGTCCGTCATTCCATTTATCGTTAGTCTATAATTAATCGTTTCATTCTATCTGTAAGGCCTATATAATTTTCTTTTCACAAATTATACCTTTCAAGTTAAAATATACGAGTTGTGAATTCTGCATTTGACAATTATCAAATCTAAATTGCAATCCTGCGCCCTGATTGATTCTCCGACTGAAATTCAGGAACTGAATTGGAACGTTAACGGCATTCTAAATTCAATTATAGGCATGCATATTAAAAGACTCAAATAGCGTCATGTTTAGTTGTCTCTGTGTTTAGGTTTGTAGCATTTATGTTAGTTCACAACACTATAACCAGTGTTTTATTATCTTATATCTGTCAAGTGACGTGTGTTTGTGGTACAGTGTAAATAAGGACTCTCTCTCTCTCTCTCTCTCTCTCTCTCTCTCTCTCTCTCTCTCTATCTATCTGTCGCTTTAAGGAAGCGTGAGGCAGGTTTAATTTTTTAACGCTCCAGACCACAACAGCACCCAGAGAGAGAGAGAGAGAGAGAGAGAGAACAGAAGAGGGGGAGGGAATAGAGGAATAAGAGGGGTGGGTGTGAGGACATGAAGAGAAGGAGGGATTTTGAGTGATCGGAAAAGAAGGAGTGTTCTGAGTGACAGAGAGGGAGGGCAGAGAGGCTTTACAATGAGATGGAAAGAGAGAATGAGGGAGTAAAGCAAAGCATGTTGCCAGTGTTGGCTCCGTAACTCACTGTGCGCGGGGAAGGGAGGGAGAGCAACAAAAAAAAAAAAGAGAGAGACGGAGAGTCACACATTCACACACTCTCTCAATCACTCTCTCTCTCACACACACACACACATAAACTCACACAGATTCAGAGGTGCCTTGCTGAGGAGACTCTCTTACGCTCGCCTACAGGGGTGAGAATACTTTCAGCAAGGAAAACTGGGCTACTTTTCCAAACGGGACTTCTACAGCATGTGAAGCCGGACGAACAGATATGTGCAACATCTATCCTTAACATTCCTCCATTTCATCCCTCTCTCCCAATGGTGCGAAGGACACGGAGCTACGGGTTCCTGGTTGCCTTACGGGAGTCTGGGGGAGGCTTGGTGCTCTCCTGCGCTCGCACTCTTTCATGAATGTCACCTCTGCCGGAAGAAGAAGCCGCTGGAATTTACAAACACTCTCTCGGGAGCTCGGGAAGAGGGAGCAAAGGGGAATGTCAGAAGGGAGAGAACTTCCGATTCCTTTCATCCTCATCTATGACACGAGGTCCACCAGTTTTTGACTTTTTCTCGTCGTTTCTCTGTTTCTCCAGAGGCATGGATGCGATACTTCGAAGTCAGGCAATGGAGTTTCGCTAAGGATATCGTTCCTTTTCTCCGTGGGATCTGTATTTCTTTTCGTGCGTCCTTCTGTTTTACCTTCTGGGGACCTCGCTGATATGTGGAGCCGGACGGATAAAACGATTGACTGCTGATTTCTGACCCAGGTGATTTCTAATCATCAATCCCAGACTAAACATCTGAAGGGGAAGTGCGAGGCAAGGGATTCTGGGTGCTCGGATCTACAGGGAATGGTGCTGTTGTTATGTCTCGCTTTTTCCCCAGAATTCCAGTACGACTCCATGGATCGTCCGCTTCCACTTTTCCAGTCCGTATGCCGCGCGACGAACCCTGAGGTACAACAAACAATCCCGACAACGACAGCTGCCGTCCATCGGAATCACAGCACCGGGAATTTTGCGCTCCCGGGACTATTTTGAGAGTCAAAGAAACTAAGTTTATTGTCTCTTTTTCTTGACGCATTCTGACCTGGGTTACAGCGGGAGTCCGAACACCTGCCGTCTCCTGCTCCTCTACGTGGCCCTGGGTGATCGGACAGGTGGGCGGCCCACTGTGAGCGGGGCACGGCAAAATGGCTGCCCTCGCCAGCTCGCTGATCCGACAGCGCAGGGAAGTCAAGGACCCCCAGGCCAACCGGCAGGTCTCCAACAAACGCAAGCCTTGTCCCAAGAGCAACAAGTCGCTCTGCCAGAAACAGATCCTCATCCTCATCTCCAAAGTCCGGCTTTGCAGCAGCCGAGGAAGAAAGCTGGAAAAAAGACCCGGTGAGTTGTCCAAAACACCCTCAAACCAATCTACAAATCGGCCCTATTCTAAGTCTATCCACTTCATGGACTTACTAACTAATGCAATATTGGTTTTGACGATCATGGTAGTTCACAAATGAGGCTGTTTGTGTCAGATATTATTCAAATATGTCATTTACTCACCCTCAAACCTGTATGCATTTCTTTCTCTTGCTAAAAACAAAAGAAGACATTTTGAAGAATGTCAGATGATTGACCCCAGTGACTTCCATTGTATTATTTTCATACTCTTCATACTGTTCATATTCATACAGGTTTGAAACATCTTAAGGGTGAGTAAACATGAGAGAATTTTCATTTTAAGTGAACTTTTCTTTTGGGCCTTTGTCGACTTCAGAAAGTAAGATCTGAACTAAACCGATTTGGTTTACTAAACCTTGCTGTTTGTGTGACATTTAGCAAATTTAATAAGCCATTTACTTACCATCATGTCTTTGTTTGGCTTTTTTTTTTGGTCCATTCAATGAAAGTCAGTGGGGTTCAGTCGAAAGTCAGTCGAAAAGAAATTAAGTTTTTGATTCCAGGATTCCAGGATTTTCTCCATATAATGGACTTCACTGGGAACCAAACGGTTCAAGGTCCAAAAGACCGTTTTCAAAGGGGTTTAAACTATTTCAGACAATGAATAAGGGTCTTATCAAGCGAAACGATCGCTCGCTTAATAAATAAATAAAAAAGTTTAAGTTTTATAAGCTCAAATGCTCGCCTTGCTCTGTTCTGTGATGTGCGTTCGTGATTCTGCTGTTCGAACTCGTTCATCAAAATGAACGAATCTTTTTTCATTTTGTTCATTGAATGAACCAAATGAGCGATCGTTTCGCTTGATAAGACCCTTAATCATCATCTGGAATCGTTTAAAGCCCTTTGAACAGTTTGCACTGAAACTGTCTTTTGGATCTTGAACCATTTGGTTCCCATTGAAGTCCATTATATGGAGAAAAATCCTGGAATGTTTACATCAAAAACCTTAATTTCTTTTCAACTGAAGAAAGAAAGACATGGACATCTTGGATGACATAGGGGTGATTAAACTACTCATTCAATGTTGTTTTGAACCCCATTAACTTTTACTGTTTGCCAAAAACATACATGAGTACACGTTTCATGTTTGGCTGAGCTGTCACTTTAAGATTACACATTTCCACAGTCTGTATGATTGAATGTTATCCTTGAGACTTTGAAGGTTGACTCGTCTAGGCTCTGAAGAGCGTTTGTTGATATAGTGAGTCTGGGATCCAGAGCTTTGTAATCGTTCTGATCATTTCGCTGCATGTCTCTGTACTGCTTTTGACAACACCTGTTTATTTATGACCACCGACCAACGCGACACACGCCGTGATCCTTTCCACGCACATAAAAACGTCACGGACTCATTTACGATGAGCGGTTCCAGTCTTTCCCTCCCCTCTGTCTCTCCGTGTCCGCATCCACCGCTAGAGACCATGTGTTTGTGTGGGGGTCTTATGTGTACAAAATTAACCCCCAATGAGACGTTCAACCTCTCTGAGTAAATCTCTTCACTGAAGAGGTTTGTGGCTTTTATTTTAAGATGTGGAACAGAATCATATCAGACAGTTTTTTCATCTTTCCTGAGGAATCATGATGCTGTTTGCAAAGACCCCTTTTCCCCCCTTTGAGTACAGTCAAATAAGCTTTATTTATTCACAAAACAAAAGCATCATTTAGATTTACGCTATGGAAACACGCACTTTAGAGTTTGAGCAAGTGGACGACTGCTAAATTGACTTAAAAATAGAATATTTTTGATTCATTCTCAAGTTATTATCCCAAGGTTTTTTTTTGTCTCAAGTATAGCCTACATTAGTATAAAACCTGGAGCAGAAGTGAAATACAGAGTGTTTTTAATTTATTTATTTAAATATATTTAGGCATGATTTTGTTTATGGCTGAATGAATATGATTTTGCAGCATGTGTTTGACTCTGTGTCATTCACATTCCATTACATTTTTTATTAATGTTTTGACTTACATTTTATATTTACATTAGAATATTGTATATTATGATAATTACATTTTTTTAGTTTTTATTTTGGTAAGTTAAAGGTATACTATGTAACAATATTTAAATAATGAGTCAATTCATCATCAATCCTTCTTCCGAAACGTGTTTTAGTCCTGATTCACTACGGTAAGCCTATTTGAAGTGTTTATATGTTAGATTATATATTTATTTGATATTTTATTCGGTCGGGATGGTTTGCGCGGGTCACTGCTTACATGCGTCACTCGCTCGCGTGTGTCTCGTCACATCCGTGAATATAGAGACGTTTGTCCGGCTATGTGTGTGTGAGCAGAGGTCAGTTTTACGAGTGAGAAAGGTTGACATTGAGCAGTTAAATCTCGAACCCCCGGAGAATCACCCGATTAAACAAACGGCGAACAGAGGAGAGTCTTCTGGAGAAAAGACAGCGAGACTGAGCTCGTCATAAAACAAGAATCAACATTGGCTTTTCAGAGATGGCGAGAACTGAAGGATTTGAAATGCTGTGAAAGCGACGCAGAGATGATGGTGTTTTTATCACTCAACAGGCGAGTACAGTATTTATTGAACATATAAATAGCCATATGTATCTAGTTCATTATAAAGTATCTATTGTAAAGGTTCATTTCATGGTTGTTGTATCGGTTGGCTGGAAGTGCCGTGTGTATTAAGGCTATGTTCACACTGCAGGCTGAAACGACCTAATTCCGATTTTTTTGCCCCTATGCGACCTGTATCTGATTTTTTCATGACAGTCTGAACGACACAGATCCGATCTTTTCAAATGCGACCCAGGCCACTTGGGTATGTGGTCCAAATCCGATATGTATCCGATCTTTTGAAATGCAACTTCAATCTGAACGGCCAGGTCCCATATATCCGACCCGCACGTCATTGCACGCACCTGTAGCCAGCCAATACACGCTAACTCCAACGCGTTTCTGCACTGTCATGGGCCGCTGCAGACGTGTCTCTTCCCCAGTGTTGTGCCTGAACGCGTTCAATGAACGATAGTGCATGACCGCGTTCATATACTGTATTACTGTCTGATGAACATTACTGTGAACACGTTCATTCTGGTGTCTGTGAACGTGCGCTCTCTCTCAGTATAACTTTGTACAGTAGGGTGCCAGATTGATTTCTATAGAGCCTTCCAGGCGAAAACCTGGCTAAAACACATGTATACATGCCTTAAAATGTAGCGAAAAAACACCCGATCTGGCAACACCAGCCACCAGTGTCGCACCGCGGCCGCCGGTGACAAAGCAAGGAGCGCCGAGGACGTGTACTATCAATTAAACGGGTTTTATGACGAGGTCGGTGAGGATCAGAAAAATCTTACATTTATGTGCAAACTTTGCCCGTCGATAAAATAATTGTTGTCTGTGTTTGTATATGGGCTGTGGCAATAATAATAATTAAACAAAAGCTCGCAACATATGGAAAAAAAGGACTATTCCGCAAACAACAAGCGACGTCGTTGACCGCTGATTACTCTTCTGCGCATGCGGGTCACTTCTGGGTCATTTCACGTTCACACAGGAGATCACAAAAGTTCGCATTTAATTGGAAATGTGAACGGCCTTGCAAAAAAATCTAATTTTTAAAAAAAGTCGGAATTGAGGATTAAGCCCTGCAGTGTGAACGTAGTAGCCTTAGTGTGTAAAGATAACGTTACAGATCCTTTCCATCTAAACTGGTTATATCTCTTAAAACTATAGAGAATGTTTTAATGTATGAGCAGTTTAATCATAAAAAAACAAAACAATATTCTTCAGCAAAACACGTTATTAGTACCAAAAATGTTTTTTTGTTTTTTTTTAATGTTGTACTTTTAGTTTCAGTTATAATAATAACAGCGCCGATTTAACCTCATGACCCCCTCTGGCTTTCTGGTTGAAAGATGGGAAGAATTTCATCAAAGTAAATGGGTAAATTATAAAAAAAATATACTTCATTTTGAATGCAGTGTTTGGCTTGTGTGGCCTGGAGGAACATTAAATGCAATTTTAAAATAGAACAGTGAGCTTCCCATGGCACATTTCAAACAGAGCTAGTAATGGTTTGAAGAACTGCCTAGGAATATTTGCTTTTGTGCTTACGGTGCTAATTTAGAAGTACAGGTGAGACCTGAGTGTGTGTGTGTGTGTGCCACCAGGATGGGACATTTATGACACGTGTATCTCAAGTAAATCACAGTAATTGTCATGGAAACCATACTCCCGTAACGCAGCAAAGTGCCTGATGCCAAGCGCTAATCACATCTATGAGAAATGGTGGCGGTCGGTGGTATTTGGCGCAGTAAAGGAAGAAATGCTCTCTGTCAGTTTGGGGTGGTACGTATAGTTCGGGGCGGCTGCAGTAATGGTGACTGGATGATTTCGCCTGCCTTTTGATGGAGAGGATGAGAGAGAGAGAGAGAGAGAGAGAGAGAGATCACCTCCTCTAAAGCACCTGCTTAGTGTGTACTTCATGAGTGCTATCTACTTCTGTAGTTCACTTTCCTTGTCTGATTCTCAATAAGAGCATCTTACACAAACATCCTTACTTTTTATTCTATCTGTATCTGTCATGGGTTGGGTAAACTGCTTTATAAAGTAATTAGCTGTTGAAATCAAATCTTGTGGCTTGGAGGAATGTTTGTTGTTTTCAGTACAAGAGGCCAAATCGATGGACATTTTTACATGTATAGTAGGAACGTTTCTTTGTCCAATTTAGTCTCAGTAAGGTAATACACAGTACTCTAGTGAATGGAATAATGCAAACATTGTACCTTTAAGAGTAAGTTACTATCCACAAGTTTCCGAGGGGCGCTCCTGTAAAAAATAAAGTGGGTGAAACTTCCGGTGACGCGGCGGAAGTAGCATTCCAATGGTATTTTGTGTGTTAGCGAAGAGGCTAGCTGTTTTTCTGAGAATTATTTTGCTATTTAAAGACTTTGCATCTTTAAGAGCGA